CTGGTTTGTCTGATTTTCTTAGAAGTGGGCTACCTTTGGTTAGTTAAATTTTAATGTAAAAAAAAATTGATATGTCAAATAGTATACTTTGATGCCACTTGACATATCAATTTTTTTAATTCGATACAATATGGGTGATATTATTTTTGTAGTATTAAATTTAATGACTATAAATTATTTTTCTTTTTAGAAGCATAATTATCACCTGAATTAAATCTTATGAATATAGACTTACCAACCTTTACAGAATCTATGTTTGATGGTCAACAAGATAACTACTACTTACAACTTCAAATCGAACATTCAAATTTGTTTGAATTGTCAGATTCTGAAAGCTATAGTATGGATACTAACAATCAGCATAAATATTTATATTATATATGTGTTGATGATACTTTTAAAACATTTGAAGAAATTGGAAGAAAACTTGACCGATATACAATAGAACGTGGATTTGTGGTTAGGAAGAGACATATTCATACATGTGATGATGGGTCGATATGGAATGCAACTTGGGTGTGTTATTTGTCTAGATAATGGCAACCTAAAAAAAAATAAATCCTGATGATTAACATAATCGTGAAGTGGCAGTTACAAATTGTAAATAGCATTGTAATTTTTTAATTGGTAATACAGCAACAAAAATTTGCTGTTCTTTATTTGATAATGTACAGTTCACAATCATACAATTGATAGTAATATCAAAAGTAATGCTCCAAGATATTACTGATTAACTGATAAAATAATTAATAAAGTTGAATTATACCACAAATGTAATATTCAACCTAGTAAAATAATTAACTTACTCAAAAAAAAATATCCTAATTATTTTATTAAACCACGAAATATTTATAATATAAAAAGTTGATTAAAAGATACAAATAAAAGACTTAAAAATGATGCAGCTGATTTATTGAATTACTTTTTACGACAAAAAGCATTAGACCCTGGTTGTATAGTTGAGCCTGTTATTGGTGATATTGATAATGAACTTAGAGGTATTTTCTGGCAATCGGATGAACAAGTACAGCTAATATCAAGATTTAACAATATTTGTTTATTGGATACAATATGTAAAACTAACTGATATCGACGACTATTAGTTTTGATAATTGTAGTTGATAATAATACAAGAAGCAGATTAGTTGCTCAAGCATTATTGCCAGATGAATTCATGAACTCTTTTAATTGGCTTTTTACATGCTTTAGAAAAGAAAATCCTGTTTATGAACCTGAAGTTATTTTTTCTGATTCAGATCATGCAATAGCTGCAGTGATTTCTACAAGTTTTCTATTAGTTTATTACCATCTTTGTATATTTCACATTGGTAACAATATTAAAAAAAGGGCTCGATCAAAGCTTGATAAACAGTATAATCAGTTTATAAGCAGCTTTTATGCTGCATGGAATACACTACAAGTACCTATATTCAAAAGTAGATATCAGTAGCTAATTAAAATATATCCCAATATAGAATGTTATTTAAAAAAACTTTATTATTTAAAAAAAGTTGGGCTCACTGTTTTACAACACAGATCTTTAATGCTAGGATTCAAAGTGTGTAACATGTAGAATGTTATAATAATATTATTAAAAAATATGTTAATCAATCATCAACTTTAATCAAGTTATATAGTACAATTCAAGAACGACTTGATCAAGAAAATAGATATAGTCATTCTCAAGAAACTTTAACTTTTAATAATTGTGGATCACAGTCAATAAGTCAAATATTGTTCTCTGAAATTATTGCATTATGTGAAAAATATCTTACACCTCATATAATTGCTAAAATAAAGCAACAAACTCAATAAGCGCTTTGGTATCAATGTTCTTTATTTAATATTTTAGATGAATATTATGCCAGTGAACCGGATTTTACAAATACTTGCATTAAAGATGATTATGATTTACAACAAATTTATCTTAATTCGTTTTTATATAATATATCACATGATAGTATTAAAGAAGCTTGGCATATTGTTAGACTTACAGGTTTAATGAATATTCACTATATTATCTTATTTTATGATGGATCATTTTTATGTACATGTACTTGGTCTATTTGCTATGGAATTCTATGTCAATATTATTTTGCTGTTTTTTTAGAATCAAGTACAGCTATTTTTTATATTTTCTTTATAATGCAACACTGGTATAAAGATATTTATCTTAATGAATTAGAAAAAAGCTTTGATAATATTTTAGCAATTTGACCACATTATAATAAATCTGCATCTGCAATTACACCTGCATCTACTTTATCCAATCAACCTATTTTATCTAATTAATTTGAAAAACTTACTCTTATACGTAAAGCTTCAGAATCTAAAATGTTAAATAAAAAGTTTCTTCAAGATCAAATATATTATAGTAAAAGTTATAGATTATTACAATTAGTTTTAGCTTTAGCAATGGAAACTAAAATGAATAAAAAAGTAAATAATTGGTGTTATCAGTTTATTCAACAAAAAAAAAATTCCAAAAGTCTTATTTACAACTTCTAAATCAAATATTAATGAAATATTGATCAAAATAATAATAATCAAGAAAATATTTAAGAAGACGATCAAAAAGACAATCAAGAAGATGATCAAGAAGTTGATCAAGAAGATGATCAAGAAAATAACCAAGAAAATACTATTCAAGTTACTAATCCAAAGTTATATAAACTAAAGGTCGACCAAGTTTAAGGCAAAAAAGTGTATTAAAATTGAAAAGCAAAAGACTATTATGAACTATTAATGAGAATTCAAATCAAAAAGGAAGTTCTAAGCATG